TGGGATGTTCAGTAGATATCCAAAGGATTTGGTGTGCTGTCTGGGTTGTTAGCTAGTAATTTCTATGGGCAAAAATAAAAATATTGTTTTCATCTTATGGGGCAGTGCAATATACAGTGTGTCCACTTAAGTTCGCAACATATGAGAAACTTTTTTATTATTAACTTTACGAAAAAAAAGTTATTCTTCATAAAAAGTTCTGCATGGTCTGAAACCTAAAATGCAACCATCATATATCAAATTTTTACAATATAGGATGAGTGAAACAAAAAATAATATTTTTGGACTACATTATGTGGTAAAATTTATAAAAAAAATTTAGTGGTATTATAATATTTTTGTATGTATTTAACATATATTACTGGTTAGAAATCGGGAAAAAAGTAAAAACCTAATTTTTGATACCTATTTGTTTCAATGTGCCCCACTCGTAGGGTAGAGTGAAACATCAAAAATATTCTAAACGAAGAGAAAATACGTTTTTAAAATTAAAAACCTTTATTATCAAACATTATTACAAATAAAAATATATGGGTATATCTACCTATATATAAATGGACATCTAGATTTGGAAACGACATTTCAAAATTTAGAAAACGCTGTTCTTCTGGGCAATGATACATCCAGCACTCAGTTTAGTTATGGGACTAAAAAGAACCAATTGGAATGGGATACGTCACGGCTGTGGGCGGGATCGATTGGCAATTGACACGTAGCGAGCGGTTAGATTTTTTAACCTAACATTTTTCTGTCTACTTTACCGGTAACGTGCAGTCTGACAGATACTTGATTTTTGCATTTCTGTGCAATGTTTTGTTTCCCTATTCCCCTCTATAATAGAATTATAATTTTTTATGTTGTTTTTTAAAATGCTCCGTTTTAAAGTTTCCATCTAAAGTATTACATATTATTACTTAGCAGCTATTTTGTAAATTATCTGGTTAGTTTACAAACTAATTTTTCATGTTAGTCGTAACATTAAAAAAAAAAAAAAATCTTTATTCCAGTAAGACCATTGCTACACCGTATTGGAAAAGTCAGTTTTACAAAGTGTTTTACAAAGAATGTATATAATTTAGGCAAGTAAACATAAAAAAAAAATATTTATATAAAATAAACATAGCATATATCACGTAACAAATAAAAATAAATAATATTACACAGACCGAGTGGAGCCATACTTATTTAGTTAAAATTGAAGTACTCATCTACATTATAAAAACAATTCTCTAACAAGAATTCCTTAAGTTTTTTCTTAAAAGAATTAAAAATTTGTTCATCTTTTATTGACTGTGGCAATTTATTATAAGGTAACTGCAGGAAATATGGCCATCCTAAGGAATTATCCTTCCAAATTGCAGATGATGAAAATATATCATATTCCGGATAATACATTAAATAAACTAAAGTCTTAAGCACAGGTTTTTATTTAAAAAATAGGTAAATTCTTAAAAATTTAAATTTTATGGCTATTTTAAAAATACGTTACAATTGGCCATATTGTCAACCCAGGGTCGGTAATATGGCCACATACTTAAATCTAAAAATTTTACTATCATAAAAAAATAATTATTACTCAAAAGGAAAACTTAAACTCATAAGCATAGTTTTAAATACAAAATATGAAAACACCGACGAGTATTTTTATTTTCCATCACAATTTGGACAAAGAAAAACTTCTATCTTATCTTTTGCGGTAAGTCCCATGCACTCTTCATGGACATATTCTTTACAGGCAGTGCATAAACGCATATTAGCTACCCTGTCTTCACAGCATAATTTACAGTACCAGGATTCTGTTTTATTTTTAGACTCCTTATTCGTAGCGGACCCCGTATTTCCTTTAGAACAAGAAATTGTTTTTTTGGTAACACTTTTTTTACTAGTGCTTACTGTATCGTCGATTGATTTAAAAGTGCTAGTAAATAAATCTCGCGTGACTACTTGCGCCCTGCTGTTAATTGCGGGGTTTCGGGGTTTTTTGGCCTTTATTACTGCTTCTTCCGGAGTATTAAGCATGTCGGTAAATGAGACGTTACAGGTTTCGTAGGAGTCATTTTCCATGTTTATAGATTCAGAATCTTCATCCGCACTGAAATCGTGGAGACTAAAAGAAGATTCAGAGTCACTAGTATCCGGGGAAGGGATAGTAGGTCGGAGGGGTTTTTTTGTTTAGTTCCCGATGTTGAAGGGAAACTATTATCTCCCATAGTGGAAGCTCCGCTATGTGATTCTGGTGGTTTTACGACCTTTTGTGTTTGTGGTAGTTGATTCGTGACGGTACTGGGGGCAAATGCTATATCCGGAATTGCATCTGGGTTAAAAGGATAAATTCCTGTGGACGAGAAACCAGATTTGATATTAGCAGGAGTCATGGTTTTATCCCAGACTGTAGAAAAGATTGCGCCAAAGCGTTGTTTGGTAATAACACGATCCTGGTGATTAGAAAAATACTTCATAACTTCGTCGTCCCAGTAATATTCAAATGCTCGGAATACTGCCTTGTCCATCGGCTGAAGTTCGTGTGTGGTGTTACTGGGAAGACAGTACAAGGTAATCTCGTATTAATCCGCAGTCTCGACTATCCTGTGGTCTAAATGACTTTTTGCTCCATCAAATATAATTAGACAAGGTCCGGGAACCTTGAATTTTGCAAAATGATGAATCCAAGCACAAAAAGTTTCGATGTTCATACTCCCTTTTGTTGTCATATTCACAACTGCCCCTGGAGGTAGGGAGTCAACCCATTCTGGCTTCAGACGTTTTCCTTTGAAAAGCACCATAGGAGGTATTGATGAACCAAGAGCATTACCACACGAAACAATTGTTACATTCTCTCCATGCTCATTGGCCACAATATGCACCCTTCTTGCCCCTTTTTTCGCCAGAACTCTTTGTTGGTGGTGAAGGCTTAATCTACAGCCTTTCTCATCAATATTGTAGATCCGTTCAGGCTGGTTAAAAATGTTCATTTCTCTCAAAGTATTGCCTAGCTTTGTGAAATGATCTTCTACAATGAACTTATTCATTTTTTGGGCTCTAGCTTGATTTAAGTTTTGTGCTCGCCTAGGTCTAACTTGGGGATTGCGTTTCATAAATCCACGAAGCCAGTAACGACCAGCCATTTCTTTGGCATTCTGAAAAGGATTTGGGATATTATTAGCTTGAGTAAATCGGTAAACGCATCTGCGAAGAACTCTTGCGGTTAATGGGTATCCAATTTCTGAAAGCCGAATAATTCGTTGAACCAATTCTTCTTCTTGTATTTTTGTAAGTATTGTCTTTCGTCCTAAAGCTGATTTATCTTTCTTTCCTTCTTCTAAATACCGTCTAAGTTTTCTTCGTGGTATTTTGTATGTATCACTTGCTCTCTTAACTGCCATACCGTCCCCTACCGCCGTTAATGCCGCAGACAAATTCTCTGTAGCCCATGTACTACGCAATCCTTTACACTGGTAACGTGGCATTTTTTTATACCTGCAAAATACTTTGATTCAGTGTCTTGATTCATTAGTATTACCACGTGTAGAGGTATATGGCCATGGCTATATTGCTCTACTTTCCCCCTGGCCATATTGCTATACAATGACATCCACAAATGTTTACCAAAATATTAACTTTAAAAAGATAAATAAACGAAAAACTAACATGCCTATCCTCTTTCCCACACTTCTTACATAAGTACAACATAAGAGAGAAACCAAAAACTTACCAGATTAAGCAAATAAATTATGATTTTTACTCTAACTGTGTTAATAACCTGTTGACACTCTTACCACCAAACACGCTTATGGCGCCAATGAATATATTGCAGGCCATCTAGCGACATCTATTTCCTCGGGTACTTTTTAGACTAAGTTAAGCATTTGGTGTTGCAGATCGCTGTAAATAAATTTCTAGTAGGAAATGAAAGGCATGGCCATATTGGTCTACATGGCCATATTACCTGCAGTTACCTTATAATTGTATGCCAGCATACGACGCGACATTTTTGATAGAACGCTGTTCTATGATTCGGAATTCGTAACAAATTACCATGCCTGGTTTGGTAGTTATGAATATCTAAATTTTTACTAAATTCATTAATTTTTTTCCTAATATATATTATGCATTTATAAATGTAAATAGAAGGCAGTGTTAAAATATTAAGTTGTTGGAAATATGATTTGCATGATATTCTTCTATTAAGACCAAGAATTAATCTCAAAACTCTTTTTTGTAAAATGAAAAGCCTATTAGAGGATGATGAATTTCCCCACACAATTATATTATATGACAAATGAGAGTATATCATTGCGTAATATATATTTATAAGTTGTTGTTTGCCTAAAATATTTTTTAGTTGAAATAAAACATAATACCCACTATTAACCTTTTTACTAATATAATCAATGCACGATTGAAATGATAAGGTGCTGTCAAGAAAAGTTCCCAGAAATTTTGTAGACTCGGACATTGTCATATTTAGATTATCTGTTGACACTGTTATTACATTCTCAATGTTATTAATAATGTTAAATTTCATCAGTACCGTTTTCTTAGAATTTAATATTAGGTGATTTTGTAGACACCACTCATTGAATTTGTTATAGAGGAAATTCAATTTGTTTGAAAGTTCCTCTAGAGAATTCGCACAAGAAGCCACTGACACATCATCTGCATATAGAACAATGCAATCTGCGTTTAAGTATGTTGGTAAATCATTTATAAATATAAGAAATATCAATGGTCCCAATACGGATCCCTGAGGAACCCCCATATCTACATTACCTTCATTTGAACAAGTTTCATTCACTTTGACAATAATTTTTCTGTCTTAAATATGACATTAGCCAACTTAACACATTTCCTCGAAAACCTAAAGATTGAAGTTTAGTTTCCACAAAATCCAAATTTAAGCAATCAAAAGCTTGTGTAAGATCAAAGAAAAGTGCTCCAATAACTTTTTTGGTATCAAGGCGTTTGTATAAAAATTCAACAAAATCATATATAGCGCTCTCCGTTGATCTACCAGGGTAAAAACCATTTTGACATTTAGTTATGATCTTATACTTTTTTAAGTAAGAAATCATCCTATTATACATAGCCTTTTCGACTATTTTACTTATGACATTTGATACTGTTATTTGTCTATAATTGTTTAAACTTAGCGGATCATTTTTTTTGTATAAAGGAGTTATTAATCCTACTTTCAAATCTTCAGGGTATTCACCATCCTGAACGGAAACATTTATTATATTAGCTAAAGGTTCAGCTACATAATAAGCAATATTTTTAATAATTTTAGTGGGTATGCAATCTACTCCAACAGAATTAGTATTTTTTAAATTTCCAATTATCTCTAAAACGTCTTGTTTATTTACTGGGTCAAAGAAAAACGAATTACTGTTACACAGAACACATTTTGTACAATCTGTACTAGCGCTTCCAAAATACTTTTCATTCAATAATTTTACTGCATTACTATAGTGTTTAACAAAACTATTTGCTACCTCAAAATTATTTTCAATTATCTGTTCATTGATTTTTAATTTAATTTGTTGATTTGTCTTTATTCTGCCGCTTTTTTCTTTAACTAGTTTCCATACGTATTTTTGCATTTCAATAGGGTTCGTCTTATTGTCAATTGAATTTTGATAATAAAATATTTTATCACGTTTTAGTTTTTGTTTATAGTTTTTAAATTGAGTTTTGTATTCTAATTCTAAATGTTTGTCATAAAAATTCTGTTTTAACCAATGCAGGTTTTTTAATCTATTACCCATTTCAATTGTCGCTGTGGTAATCCATTTACATTTCCTATTTTGATTTAAACAAACTATTTTCTTAACCATTGGACAAAATTTATCGATTGCAAAATTAATAGCACCATAGAAATCATTTAACATGTCATTAATATTTGCGTAGTTGCTTAGTTCATTAAAATTACGATTATGTCGAAAATAGTTTTGCAGATTACCAATAGCATTTTCACCCAGATTTCTAAAAGATATTTGTCTTTTTACAGGAGTAATTAATTCTGATTTTATATTTAAAATTAAACCAAAATGATCTCCTAGATTCAGATCATGAACAGTTTCGTTATAAGTATCTATAGGCATATTTGTAAATACGTAATCAAGTTTTGATATTGAAACAGTCCCATTACTCTCTTTATGTACCCTCGTGGGATCTGTATTTTGAATTGTCAAATTATAATATTGCATAAGGTCTAATAAAATATTTTTGTTGTTAGATTGAGTTAAGTAGTCAATATTCAGATCTCCACAAAGAATAACATTTTTATGCTTCTTTACACAATAATCTAATATTTCAGTAACTTGATTAAAAAATATATTTACATTGGCTCCAGACGGTCTATACATTACATTAATACAGTATTTTACATTTTTAACACAAATTTCTATACCACAACTCTCTGAATGCATTTCTACAGATAAATTTTTTACAATATCTATAGTCTTACAATAAATATCATTTCGGACCAAAATCATTACTCCGCCGTGTATACGGTTAGGTCGTACATAGTACTCAGCTATTTTAAAATCTTTAAAGAAAATACATGTATAATTGGACTCTAAACACCAAGTTTCTGAAACACACAGAATGTGCGGTTTGTATTCTTGAATTAATAACTCAAACTGTTCAATTTTATTTGTAATACATTGAGTGTTAACACATATAATTTTAAGAAAATATTGATTCTGGTACGAATTAAAATTAAAATTCTCGGTCTTGGTATCCAGTGTTTCGAAATTGAAATTTCTTTACGATGACACCTTTGGGCCAATAACTAGGGGTATATAGATTATTTTCTAATTCGACATCAGCTTCTACTCTGTAAGAAGAATTACGCCCTTGTGAATTTAACTTCGTTACATTAAATTCATGTCCGGGTGATCTTTTTTCTAGGTATTTTTTAATATCCTCTGGAGTTGAAGTAGGTTTACAACGACCTACATATATCCACAGACGACGAGTTGATGCAAAGTTTCCAAACTCATCTGCCACATTTTCCTTTTGTTCATGTTCATTTGTTCCCGTACCTAATACAATTTTCTTGGGCCTCTCTGTATTTCTGCTTCGACCACGTCTAGAATAAGTCTGCTGGTGCGGTACCTTCGAATAATTACTATCTAATCGGACAATTTTTTCTTTCTCAACTGATTGTGATAGTGTCTACAATTGTATGCCCCGATAAAGTTGAAGAATCTAAATCTTCAGATTCTAATAAATTGTTTTTTAATAAACTAGCCGGATGATGTGTTAACATTCTAACCATCTCTATATTACTTTCTCTTAAATCGGTTATTTCTTGTTTCAGTATCTGAATTTCTGTAATCAGCACTTCTGTTTGTTCTTTTACTGTTTTTTGCAAAATGTCTTTAAGTTCTTCTAAACTAATTATAATAGTGTTTTTACTAACCTCTGCTTTGGTAGTTGTACTTCTCGTCATTTTCGTATATCAAATTTATAATCAAGGCACAGCGCACAGACAAACACGTCCACTTCGAGCAACGATATGAATAATAATAATCGACTAAACTTAGAGCTCTTATATTATAAAGACACATTAAAATACTTGAGAATATCAAAATTAATTTATTTTATACTTTATTTAATTTTTTAAATTTTTTTTATTCGCCTTCCAACTGCGTTCGTCTGAATTGGAATACGTCTTTCTTTTCTTTTGCGACCACCAACTCCTGTAAAGATATACTCAGTTAAGTAAAGATACGTTTCAGTTGGCTTTCGCTTTCATGCATATATTTTATCCAACACCTTTCTAATCAAATTCTTTCTAATTCTTCTAAAATTATTTTTAAAATTATTCATTTTCAACTATATTATTTAAAAACATCAAAAAAATTCCAATACCGCAAAAATACAAGCTTAGGTCCACAGGACATCAATACCATAAAACAAAGTAAAAAAATTGGCATCAAAACTGCCCCCAGCCCCAGCCCAAGACCTCCACCAATAGCAGGATAAAGCAAGCAATACCTATTTATTTGAAACATACCAAATTTCATAAACCGTACGTGAATGCTAGGGAAAAAAATAATAGTCTTATAGGAATTTTAAACTGAAATAATAATTATGTATGTAATTTAGAAAAATAGCCAAAAAAATACTCACCATGTCCAAATGTAGCTATTGCCGATGAAAAAGATGCAGGTGTTTTAATGCTGTCCAGTGTTGACATCATTTTTTCCATACTACTGGTTACTTCGAGTGGTGATTTTTCAAAATATTTATTGAAAACCTGAGTCATATTAGACATTAACTCGGTGTACGTTTTTTAAACTTCTTGTTCAACATTACTTCCTTTAGGTATGCTTGTTGACAAATCTGTCTCCTCTGGATGTGATGGAATGTTACTGATTGCATTATCGGTGTTATCTTCTCTCACTTGATTCAAAGAAGCAGTATTTGATTCGGCGGTGCTATTTGTCTTTTTAATTAAGGGTTGAAGCCAGTCCTTTTTACAAGTTTGTCCAGTAGCCACAAGGTTATCTATTTTAGCAACATATTTCTCTGTGCAAAAAAGCATATTGGCCCAATCAATGTGTTTGCAGATAGCACCTAAAAAAGCCAGTCAACTTTATTAATAGATTTTACAAATTTGGTTTTGTTTCATCTGGGACAGCAACTAAACTGTCGCTAAGCTTTTTAATTCGTTAAATTAATTCTGAAGAAGGCATAACAATTTCTCTGTGGAATAGATTCATTCCTGACCGGTTGCTTGTGACATCTAGAAGTTTTCTCACTGTATAGTCCTCGAATTTCGTTAACATAAAATCTACCATTTGTACTACATTAAATGCTTTTATTCGAGAAAAGATTTTGTCCTTAATTTGACGTATTGTACTTTCAAAATAATTATTGGTGTGGTTGTTTTTCATTAATATACCATGTCTATAAGCTTTCGCCCAACTTTCTCGTTTTGGCCACCAATAATTATTTAAGTAATTGATGTAGGTAGGAAATAATTTTGCATTTTCAATAGCTATATTGTAGTTAGCTGTCATTTCCTGTATGTTTTTAGAGTACAAAATGGTTTGAATTCTTTATAAATGAGTGTTTGCTGATGTTTAGGAACACCATTTTTTATTTTAGAAAGCCACCTAAAAACTGCCTGAAGGACATGAAATAACACAGCATTCTTTTTGATTGGGACCAGGTGTCAAAAATTGCTTTCCTTTCAAATATAGTCATCAGTCATAAAGACTTTTGGTCCTTCTTTGTGCCCTCCAAAAATAGATTCCCCAACAAGTTCCTTCAAAATATTAAACCCAGATTTAATGGCATCAACATTCTTAGAAACTTTACGAAACCGTAAAGAATCTGCAGTATTGGTCATATGGTTGTGTGTTAAAATAAGTTTAACCTCACAAGGCGCCTCTTGTAAGAGTTGGAAATTTTTTGTAAGAGGTGGAGCTTTTTTTATTTTTAATGGTAATCTATTAAGAGTTTCACTAGTTTTTAAAATTATCTTTATCATTTCATAAGCACTATTCCATCTTGTTGCCACTTATTAAAACAGTTTCAATGGAATATCAGTGTTCTGTTCCCTTTAAAATTTCACAAGTTTTTACCTTATTTGAGGCATTATCTGTTACTATACATGTCATTTTTATTTCAATATTCCATTCATTAAATACATCACTCAACGCTGCAACAACATTTTCCGATGTATGGTGAATTGCATTTTCTATCGGTTTTGTGAACAAAACAGCAGATTTTAATTCAAAATCATCAGTGATGAAATGACAAGTTACAGTCAAAAACGATTCGCTTACGACTAAAGTCCATGAATCTTAAGTAATTGCAAAAAATTAAACACTTTGTAAAATTTTCTTCGGGTTTTCACGTGTGTTAATATACTTTTTTCAAAATTATCTCTCGAATAGTATACTTGCTGGCTATAATGTTCATCGGATTTAAAAGATTAATAAATGATCTGAATCCTGTTTCATTGACAATATTATAGGATTGAAAGTCCTTTGCAATCTTTAAGACCAACAACCTATCCAGCTCCTTTTTTCTTCTAGAATCGCTATTATACTGAGCTTAACGCCTAAAGAAAGGGCTAATTGATCTGTTGCTAGACCTTGTTGGGCTTGAAGCACTGTCACTATATTAGTACTTTGGCTATTCCAAGGTTCTGCTACAAGATGTAGGTGGTATCGTTTGAGATGGTGTCAAATTGCTTTTGTTTTATACTCTTTGCCAAAATTCAAGCACTTGGCAAATTGTTTATCAGTGGACTTTTTGAAAAAGTTCCAAACTGGAAAGCTCTGGTCTTTTCCTTTTATTAGATTCTAAATTTTCATCGCCATCTTTGTCATCCTTACTAGGATTATTAGGATTATCAATAAGCCTTTTATCAGTTTCATCATCATTGGTACGTACAAAATGAAAATGAACATTAATATAGAGAATTCCAAAAACAAGAAAGAATCCCAACTTACTTTGGCTTGTTCCCGGTTTACTGCGAATAGTGCAAATGAAAAACGTCTTCATATTATCAGTTACATTCTTATTACAGTTCCGTATAATTTTCGGTTCAAACGAATTAATTAGTTTAAACAATATAATTATATTTTATCAAATCAAAATCAAAACAAAAAACAATCACCATTCCCAAAAAAGACAACCTTTAACACACATTCTTTGATCTTCTTTTTTTAGTTTGGTTTTGGCCTTCACCATCTAGGATATACATTGAAAGAAGTCAAAGTACCACTGTCAACTGTCATTATTAGACATCAACTGTCAGTATTAGACGTCAACTGTCAGTATTAGACAGAAAGCATACTATCGATAGTTCTCCACCTTTACTTTCTAGAGCCAGATTTCGGATATCCTTTGAACTCCGCAGGACTTCCAAAAGTTTTATTATCAGTTGTTTCCATTTTACTAGTGTTTTGCAAAATATTTTCGGAATCATTCAGTGATGGCTCTTTATCTAATTGTGATGATGGACCAGCGAGTGTTGAGGGTTTGATCAACTCATTGTTTGAATGTCCAGGATTCGGTCTGTCAGTTACAGAACTGGGCATATATGCCGCGTTTGAGAATCCACATCGGATGCATTTTTTACATCTTCAGCGTTTTTTTATCTACATCGGAAACATCTGTCCCATTACATTTATGTATACTGAATCACGTGATCAAAGATTTACTACATCTCAGATGGATTCTCAAACGCGGCAATGGTCGGCTATTATAAGGAAAACTTCCCGTTTTCTTAAAGCCGTTGATAATTGCTGTTGAAATCATAGGCTTTTGATGTACTTCATTTACACAACCAGCGATGTTATATATTGAGAGAATCTTTCCTGGATTTTGTTTTGTCAAGAATCTACGGCAGCAGCATAATATGCTTTGAATGGAGCTTAACACGAAACATCTAATGGTTGTAATTTTCCACTACAATAAGGTGGAAGAAGTGTAACTATTGTTGTGCCACTTTCTTTAGCTAGATTTATGACTTCAATGTATATAGGGGAGACCAGGACACCTTGGTCACTTTTTCATAAAAACCATGATAACAAAAAAATCGATTTACAGCATTAATTTCAAAGTAACAATACAACTGCATATTTGTGCGATGGAGTTTTAACAGAAAGAAAAAAAATAATTTTAAACATTTTTATTAAGACAATTTTATAAAAGTCGAAAACATGACCTTGGTGCCCCATACCATGGCACCATGAACGCATCAAAGGGACTCTGTAGACATGCCACCATTACATAATAGAACACTTAAAAAACAAACAATATAATAATAATACTCTCCCTAATTTACCCCCTTACGAGTGAATTTATTATAATGATACTATTCATCCAATAATATAAGACTGCAGTTCAATATCAAAACGATTTAAGTTATTTACCCTTGCAGTCCCACTAGTGATGTGAAATACCCGGGTATTTATGAATTTAAAGCGAATGACGGCTCGTAGGAAGTTAAACCTTCTAAAATTGTTTTAAATTTATTTTGTAATTCAAAAAATGAATTCAGTACAATATGATGACTTAATCTAAGTCTGAATATTCTGGCTCAGAGTTGATTTCGTCACTGGAATGATTTGAGAGTGAAATGTTGCTATTTTCATCGTCACTGACGTCATTACGATCACTACTACCACTACCATTGGATATTTGCATAAGTTCTTCTCTTTGGCCTTTTGTTTGAGTCAAATCATCTTCTTGGCTTCTTTTTACAGTTCTTGGCTTTTTCTCATTGTTTAGAAGATTCCAATTGTGTGATAAATATGCTATTTGTCCAGCTCTTTCGGTGGTAAGTCTGTTTCTTTTTTTACAGTGAATCCAACTGAAAGTACTAAACGTTCTTTGAGTTGCGGCAAATATCAAAGGGGCTCTTAATATTCTTATAGTTACTTCAGCCAATACACCTCCTCCACCATAACTTGGAACTGATAGCTTTTTCATTTCGTGAATGTTTTACACCTTCCCAAATAAAAGACCTTCGCCACAGCCCTTCTTTATCCCTATAGTCAACTATATTTTGATGAATATCAACTGTATTTATTCCCCTGCTGTCGCCAATTTCACAAAGAAAAGTAATAGCATCAAGTAATTCCTCAGGCTTCAACTTACAACCTTAAGATGAAGAATTTAACAAGTCAGCAACCAGGTGAATTTGTCCTACCCCAAATTGAATACGTTTTTCTAAAGCTCAATCTTTGGAAGTGGAGATTCTGGCATTTCTTGGTTTCTTGCAGAGTGTAAAATTTTGTATAAACATTGTGGATCAGGAGGGTGTTTGATTCAAGGCAACAATTAGATTTAAGATGTTAACCATTTTTTTCAACTCTGACCCAAAACACACCATCATCGAGTATCTGTCGTTTCATTTCTGATAAGATTTCTGCTTCTTCACTGACAGCTAGTTTTTGAAGCACGAGATTTATTTGATAATAAACTCTGTAAACAAAACAAGTTGCTTCCCCATCTTGTTTGACCAGGCAGTTTCAAAGAAATTCTTTTGACTTTTTTCCAATTGAAACCTGTCAAATAGTGCTTTTAAGACATGGCTGTTCTTGATAGTTTTTACTATGCTAGTAACAGTTGCCATAAAAGATTTAACAGTATTGCACTTTAAAATATCTTCACACAGAAGGCAACCAAGAGGTATGATTGATGGATACTTCTTTAGCAACGCCAAATCAGCTTTCATGTTTGAAACATTATCCCCAATGATTACCAAAAACTTTTCAGTACCATATTTTTCAATAATATTGATTATCAGCTCGGCTAGGTAAGATGCTTTGTGTCTGTTCTCTTTTGTTGCGACGGACTGCACAACCAGTGGTTCTGGTTTTGAAATAACAAAGTTTACAATAGATTTATTTCTGATGTTGCTCCAGCCATCACATTGTAAATGTGTTTTGAATCCTTCAGCTGGCTTGTAACTTCATTTTGCATTTCTGTATACCGAGCTTTGAGATAAGCTGATGAAAGGCGATGCCTTGATGGTGGTCTGAATGAAGGAGGAAGTCGTTTAAAGAATTTTAACCACAATGGGTCGAGCGAAATCCCGCTGTTAAATTTTTCATACTACATAAATGCAAGGGGATGTGATTTTCCTAACAATTCCACTATGTCATATGGTGTAATTATTTTTCCTGGGTTTTCCATTAACCATGATCTAGAAAAATGAATTTATTTCAACTAATATAAATGAATATTAAAATTTAATAGCTATTGTTCATCACAAATCCGTTACATGTCATCAATGACACTAACTGCTTTTAGGTATATTTTATTTGTTGTGACTTACAACGGAAATTGTTTGTCGTTTACTAAACCTGCAAGCATCATTGTAGTAGTGTTTTAGAGACCCATAAACTGTCTAAGCGGTGGCTTGTATGTGGTGGTAATGTCAGTAACAAAACGCCATTCTCTTTAGCCAATTTTACTGCCCAGATGCTAATATGAGCTTCATGATTATCCATAAATAATACTGGAGAAGTTTTTGAAGCCTTTGAAAAAGTGATAAAGTGTTTCAGCCACTCTATCCAACCTGATGGATTAGCAAATTCATCAGTTCCAGATGGAGCCCCTTTGATCATAGGCTGCTTGAAATTTACAAATGGAAATATCATAAATGGTGGTACTGAATTTCAATATGCATTAATGGCACAACACACTGTAATAGTTTTGCCTCTCCCGTCCGAGGTAACTTGACCCACCTGTTTACACTTCTATTGAGCAAGAATCTTTACGGCATTTTGCGTAGTTATTAATATGTCACAATCGTCGTGTACCACTGGTGGTACATATTTAAATACAACAAAAAATAACAAAACAGTATAATATAAAGGTTTATTGATCACAAATACAATAATATTTACATATTAAGCAAAAAAAATTACGGTTGTATGTTGACACATCCGAAATCGACTACGTCGCGAACGTGTTAAAAAAACGTTGCACAAATAATTTGAATTTTGCTGAAGAGTAAAGAATCTTTATTTTTAACAAACCTCGTATACGACTGGTAAAATTTCATATCTGATGGTTGGTTGTATTTTAGGTTTTAGACCATTCTCGACTTTTTAAAAAGAATAACTTCTTTCCTAATATTAATAATAAAAAAGTTGTTCATATGCCGCGAATTTATGTAGATAGTTCCTTGTGATTTAGAACTTCGGTCATAGATGTCGCTACAATGCAAGATGTTGGGTTCATTTTTGCTAAATGTAGCGCTACTCTCAATAGGTGTTCTTTGACAAAAAAAATACATTGTAAATTGTTAGATCATTGTTGCAAAACATCGTCCTTATTGTGTTTTACTATATTCTAGATTTAATTGTGTTAAGAAATAATTTTAGTTCACTGTTTTTATGTTTCCAGCCTTTATGGCATGTAGGATTACCTTATCTGTAATCAGCAAAACTTTAACTTTAATAAATATAATAATGTATTTTTCTAACGCTGTTAAAAAATAAAGACGTTTTCACATTTTTTAACGCTCAACAATAAATAATACTTTAGATAAAGAGACTTGTTTTTATTTTCACTGAAAATAGTTTACTATAGTGTATTTGAAAATGCGTAACAGGACACTTTTTATGGAAAAGGTCTACAATAAAAAGATCAATTTTCCAGATTAAACATAAGCTTTATTGACTTCAACATCGACTATCCGACAAGTCAAGCCGCCATTGTGTTGTCAATGTCGTCCTCGCCTTATTGTCATATCTACATTACCTGACAAGGTCTATATTTTTATTTAATTTTGCCATCAGTCATTTTCAAATAAACTAGATAACTAATAATTGAGGGGTTTGGAATTGAAGAGATATAAGTGCTCTTTTTTCATCTATTGAGTTATGTACAAATGTGTAAACTTAGTGTTCTTTTATTTAGTAAAGAATAGATTCAAGTGAATTTATGACAAATAAAGCTACAGACATTTTTATTTGGAAAGGACACTTATACCTCTAACATTTTTATGTCAATTGTTCTTCTGGTCTTTTATTTGTAGTCCGATTTTTGTGAAATTTTCAAGAAATGCCAATAATAACGAAACTTAGGGTGGAAAACCTTGATTTTTTCAAACAGTATTTATTAAAAAAAAAATTAGAAGGAATTTAAAAAAAAATTACACGCTATTCTGTATAAAATCTTAAAAAAGTTGCTACTTTTTGTTTTAATAAATATCTAATAGTTTTTAAATGGGATATCCCACCTTTTTCTTAAAAGTCTCTGTAGAGTGCTGCCTTATCGCATCGTTGCACAAATTTAAAGCTCTCAATATTCTCGAGACACATAATATCGTGAAGTATTCTCAGTGGCGCGCATATAAATACAATTTTATACTAGAACATCCTTTAAACGAGTCTACTTCAGCGCATCCTGGCTGGATCATCAACTCCAGTTGAAGAAAAAGAACCAAAAAAAACCAAATGATGACTTTACTCCATTTGAAAAAAAAAAAAAATTGCTGGATGATAATGTCATTGAATCTTAACTATAAAAATTAATAAAACTATTTTTTCTTATAAAAATAACTTACCTTTCTAAATAGTTCTATTTTGTAATCGCCCAGATTAATAAATTAAATTAGAATTAAAAGGGTATAAGTGCATTTTTCAAATATTTTGCATTGTTGACACATATTTGACAGATAACAAATATTTACATGCAATACATATTTCTAACGTCTTTGTCTTTCATACTAATGACCAGAAGTCGTATAATTAATTTTCGGGAATTTTAAAACAACACTTTTAAGAGTTCAATATCATAATAATCAGTAGCGGGGCAAGAGCTAAATTTGCGAGGTCCTCTGGTGGCGCCGAAAGACGGATTTTATATAGAGAAAAAATTGAAACTGATATTTATATTCATAAAAATGCAAACCCTTTAACTAACATTATTAATAATTACTAAAGAATTAAAGATTTCTTGCTTACTACTGAACTCCAATAATCTACTTAGATGTTATATCTGCTTCAATAGATAAAATTGTCAAAGCTGAAAGTCTTTGCTGGCCAATTGTTTTTCTTAAATAATTTTTTATTAGTTTTAATTTTGAAAAACTCCTTTCCGCAGAGATATACACAATAAACACAGTTAATCGGCACCCTAACTGGGCAAAAGGAGACTTGCCGAATGCCGTACTCAGCCCGATAGAGCATGTTCACCGAGCCGAATTTCGGCAGCGCATTACTGCGTACTCCGAGTACTCGGCTTTCCGTATATGGCGGTGTCAGGCCAAGCAACTATTCGTGGTTTACTGGGTACTTACTAATACTGTTAAGGAGGTCCTTTCGCCACACCTCTCGCCTCCAATGTTAAAAAAAAAGTTATTAGATTATGACTAAAATTAATTTTTTTCTAATAGTTGAAGTCCTTATTTATCTAATACTGAACTTTTAACTATACCTTACCTTGCAAATTTTTGAGTATTTGTACAGTGCCTCACGAGAAAGTAAGTCCTCAACAACAATTCTGGAATTATACTATTATTTATTGATTAGATGGAGTAGAAAAAAACTAAAAATAAGGTTTTTGAAATATTTAGATTTTGTTTTATACAATAAAATATATACCTAGTTGAACATTTTTTGTGATTGTTTAATAATAATTTCTCAATAAATTCCACGGTAACCTATATATTTTATTGTAAAAAGCAAAACCTAAATATTTCAAAAACCTTATTTTTAGTTTTTTTCTACTCCATCTAATCAATAAATAATAGTAAAATTAATTATAATTCGAAAATTGTTGTTGAAGTCTTACTTTCTCATAAGACACTGTATAAACACACACATTTTTAATAAAAAATTTTCTCAAAAATTTGCACGGTAAGGTATAGTTAAAAGTTCACTATTAGATAAATAAGGACATCTACTATTAGAAAAAAAATAATTTTAGTCATAATCTAATATTTTTTATTTAACATTGGTGGCGAAAGAACCTCCTTAACAAAATTCGAATGACAATATAAATATTTGTGTAATTTTTTTACTTTCCTATATGTATACAGATATAAGGAAAGTATAGGAATCATGATTTTTTTCGACCTCGAGTTTTCGACGGATTTTTACGTTTTGAGGTCCCCTGAATCCGTTTTGACAATATTTTCGCGATGATGTCTGTCTGTCTGACGAGACCTTAATAGTAGCTCCCCATGGTATAAAAAATAAAAGGTAGGATATCAACAGTGTCAAAAATAGGACGACCACGCGCATGACGTCACGCGTAGAGTTTGTATAGGCGCGAATTTAAAAATACTGACGAAGTGTGATGGAAATATATGGTACTTACAGAAATTTGATGAATATTATGGATAAGATTTTAGAAATTACATCTATGGATATTATTATGGGATAGTTGAGGAAAGAACATGAAGGAACATAAATACAAATATACATACAATAAATATTTTTTTGAACAGATTTTTTTCTTTTTTTTTGATGATTTATTTTGGTTATACAAATTCGACTTCTAAAGAATAGTTTTTATAACCAGGATAATGAAATGAAGGGTATCTTTGCAACTCGAAACTGGGGATCCTGGTAACAATTTCGCATCTGGGTATGCTGGAAATTTTTACCTGATTAGGATTTGCAACTGGTTACTTATTTACCTGCATTATATTACTCAATTGAATAAAAATAAGTTTTAAAAAAATATTTTTTCATATAATATAATGCAGACATTCATATATTATAATGCAAAACATAAAAAAATGTACCAAATACAAATAACTGCTACATAAAATATGGTGGGTGCATATAAAAAATTGAAATAAAATGTCGCTTCATTTTTCCTGGATGTAGTAGCTGACAGTTTTTTAATTAATTCATCAAGTACAAGTTGAAATGATCTTCTTTTTGTAACATTTATAATTTTACTTTTGCTTATATTGCGAAATTTTTAGCCTTCAAAGGGTAGAGTCTCCAGTTTTGAATGAGCCAATGTGATTCACACTGGTTCAATTAAAACTTCACATTATGTAAAGTTGTGATTTAAGGTCACACTTATAACTGGAAGGTCGAAAGTGATTGGAATACATATGAAAATTTATCTGCAGGGTCACAAGCCACTGCAAGGGCTGCTTTATGTCGAATTTTCTTGTAAAGGAGGGTAGAATTGCCTATTTAGCCCCTGGGCCACTCCTCACTTTTGACTAAGCTCTTACTGTCGAGGAAGGCAAAAAACCATAATATCTTTCTTGTATCCTTTTCTTTTATTGTTACTGTTACATCCGTACCGCAATTTTTCAATGTTTTTCACTGAAACCACTCACGGAGAACAAAGTTTACAACATAATATAATACAAATATCTGCTTAATATCTTATAAATCAATATAAACGACTCACAAACTACTGCAACATGCGTCTGTCATATAATATTTATTTCGCGCCAACTCTACTAACTCTACGCATGACGTTAGCGCCGCCATGACACCATGCGCGATATTCCCCCCTGGTAGCTCCCGGTTCCATAGTATGCGCACGCGCACTATGGCCACACCAATTTGTGATTTTGTGGACTTTGTGGTTATGTTTGGGATTTTGGAAACTGAAATGCCCTAATATCGTGAAACTGAAATGCCTAATAAAAGTCCTTACAAATAAAAATAAACAAGCTAATTAATTTCAGTGTCCCTTAACTATTTGGTGTAAAAAATTGATTGAATCATGCCCGTAATTTGTGAAGTGTGTGATAAAATATACAGTTGTCAAAAAAATCTAAATAAACACCGGAAAAATGTTCACAATGCTCCACCAGCGAAATTTTCATGTGATAAGAGTGTACATAGTTACAAATGTTTGGAATCCAAGTGTAATAATTCTTTTCGGATAAACGAAGATTTGGTGGATCATTTAAGGGATAAACACGGCCTTGAGTTTCTTGTTGAAGAGTTGCACTTTCAAACGTTTAATGGCAAGTGAATTTTTTTGCTAAGCTAAATTTATCGTAGAAAGACTATTGTCTACAATATTTTAATACCTACATTTATTATTTTGATTTTTAGATTTTAAAATATGGAAAGAAGAAACTGAAATAAATGAAAATTGTAACTATGTATCTCCTCGCGGAAGAAAATCTGTTACAAATAGGATGGGGATCAGTCATCAATTATTGTACTATGTGTGCAACAGAAGTAGTGAGTAGTTACTTAAACACTAATAACTGAAAAAATATATCAGTATTTTATTATTTTCAGTAAATAATAATGCATCTAAGAACAAGACTAAACTCTCTGAAAAGATGCAGCAGCGTAAACGTCTAACAAAATCTCAAGGAGTTTCCAAGTTAGAATGGAATTGTACAAGTCAGATTCGCGTCCTTATAGATGATAAGGGAAAAATTAAAATGAAAAGGATAAAAACCCATTATGGTCACAAGATTGAAATACAACACCTTCGTCTAAGT